TACACTCTATTAATGAACATTTCACAGTTCTTTTTTGCTAGGCCTTATTCTGCAAATCAATTGTTTTTACACAAAATCAGCAAAATTCCTTTAAAAAAATTCCTGGACAAACTGATTCAGAGTAAAGCTGAATCACTTTACATTTCTCCAAATATAGCTCAATTTTTAATTCATTCAGAGGTTGTGAATTGGCTTGATAGATAAGCCATTTATCATTTTAAATATTCCATTGAATGAGTATGTCATGCAAATGTTAATTCCATCTCATTTGTTCAGTTATATATTACTTCATTGACATTTTCTCTCCTTTTCTTATTTTTGACAAAACAAATGCTTAGTGTTATTCATACATGCATCATTACTTCAAACTATTTTAATAATACACCAAATGACTACCACTGGGATCACTGTCCCAAGGTCCAAAGTCAGATTTTTTTCTTTTCCTTGTGAGAGATGATAGGATGATAATTCTTATAGCTGTGTTGACTTTGCAGTTCTGTATTGAATTCTTGCTTTGTTCAATGGAGGTGCATGAAAGAGATTGGCTCCTGTTTGATCCGTCTGTTTCTCTCTCAATCTAAGAGAGTTGGAAAATTGCTCCTGATTATTTTTTCTTGAAAAAGCCAAGTGTTGGTATATTTATGATGATATGCTAATCTTATCTCTGAGCAGAGTTCATTACAGGCCAAGCAGTCCTTTATGGAGCTGGCTTTTTTAACTGTTTGAATATTATTGGGTTTCAATATACAAATACTTTTTTTTAAATTTTTCACTTCATGTAGAAAAAAAAAAAAACTCTATGAATGAAATGATCAAGTTTTAATTTTCATGCCTCCTAAGTGGCATTCATTTTTTTTTTCTTACTTTAACATTCAGAGAAACTAGGAAAAGAATCCCAGAGAAATTTTGCTGTGTTTCTATAGGTAATAAAATTCCATCCGTTGTCTTTCTTAAGAAAAATGCTGTTAGTGTATCCTTTGATCTGACTTGGTGGTAGCCTTTATTCAGAACTCCCCATGATCTTTATAGCAACAGTAAACTGAATTTCTTCATGACCTTGTACGCAGTATATATAATTTCACAGCATTCCTTGAGCATAACATATTTATAAAAGAAATTGTGGGTTAAAATACTCACATATTTAAAATATTTTTTAAATCTAGTTAAAATGTTGATGCCTGGCTCTTTTTCCTACATGTGTAATTCAACAGAGTACTTTTATTCTCATAGCCATTACTGCTTTGTCTATGATGAAAGGTTTATTGCTTCTGTGCTGTGCTCAAGAAAAAAACCAGCAAAAGAAGCAAGGGTTCACTGCCGCAAAGCTGTTGAGCAATGGTGACATGAATGTGTATAGTATTGACTTATGGAAGATAATCATGAGAACATTTTAACGTTACTTGCCTTATGAGTTAGAAAAGGTGTGGATAGCATTTTTTTGTAAATAATGATTTTTACAAATGTTTTTTCCTTCATAATTTTCCCAATCACCCATTTCACAAAATCCTGAATATGCAATTATTTATCATGACACATTACTGCAACTAGGGTTCCCGTTTCAGAACAAACTTTAATTATACATGAGATCAAGATGAAATATCTAAAGTAAGTTGTTATTTAAATGTGATTTTTTTTTCTGGAAAATAAATGAAAAATGTAAAAATAAACTGAGTTGTGAACCTCTTTTATCACCAGTCTCTTGAAATTTTACCCATATTTCTGGAAACTTTTACTGCATGTTTGGGGTGAGCAAAGCGGGCGAAAGGTTTGGCAGAGTGCAAGGGCTTTAGAGTCGGACAGATCCCAGCTCCGTGATTTAACTACAGACTTGAGCATGTTACTCAATGATTCTTCATCCTTATCTTTAAGAAAATGGAGTTACTATCCCCTTATCATATGGTCAATGAACAGATTAAATGAGATAATCTTTACCAATCATCTAATCATTCCTACCCACTAGGTAGTAGATATTCAATAAACAGTCCTTTCCTTTTCTTATTTTTCTGTGAATAGGGATTGGGATGGGGCCAGAACACTTTAATGCTCTTTCTCCAACTCTGTCCTAACTCTTAGTGGCTCTACTGTTATCCCAGCGTATTGCTCCTGTCAGCTAATGCTAACTGCACTGAGTACCCATCCAGGGACCAGAGCCAAGCTAGGGACTTAGAGGCATTGTTTTATTTCTAACTCGCGATTGCCCACTACATAAGGGTCCTTTCAAAGGGTTGGACTTACTTGCTTTGGGTTGGGGGAGGGGTCCTGGGGTTAATTATTAAGGAGGAAGGGCCTATTAGATATGTCAGGTAGGTCTTCGAGGCCAAACAGCCTCCATTTCAAAGCTTCTTAAACTTTAAGCGATTGGGAAGAGAGCTGTTAAGGAAGGTGAAGGAGCCCCGTTTGTATGCTTAGGAGATAATCCTGTGCGCGGCACGGGGCCCTGGGCGTATTATTTAATATCTCAGAATCTCAATTTTCTCTACTGTAAAGGGAGAACAACCCTTCCCTGACCGAGTTGTTGCGACAACTAAATAAAACGAAAACTGTTTGCCAGCATCTGGTAAATACAAGCTCTCAATAACTAGCCTTATGATCAGGCTTCTGTACCTTGGAGCAGGCTGGTGGGAAGTAGGGTCTGGGGTCTGGGAAAGGGACAGGAGCTCTACTTTCTCTTTGTGCCTCAGATTTCCTGTCCCAGGAAACCGCAGTACTTCCCACTCCTGGCCCTGACATTTAGGGGAAAGGAACTGGATGAGGGAACACGGGGCTGCGCCTTGGGTCCCCATGGCCTCCTCGCAGCAGGATGAACCGGTTCCCCCCAGCTCCCGGCCACCCCAGGGCACAATCGGGCTCAGGGCGGCGCCCTCTGGGCAGGGACGATGAGATCCTTACATCCTTAGGGCGGCTCAGAGGACCACACAGCTACTGTGTCCGCTCCGGTGGGGGGGGGGGAGGACTCTGTTTGAGGAGGTCACCCTGGAGACCAGGCGCAGAGCACAAGGGGAGTGAGTGAGCGGGCGGCCGCAGGCAGAGGGAGCCCCGGGAGGAGGGAGCCTTGCCCTGCGGCGCCCGCTCCCGCAGTGAGCGAGCGCGAGGTCCAGGAGGTCCCCGGCGGAGCCCCACGGCAACTCCAGCGCTGCTGAAGGTAAGGGCGCCCTCTCCGCAGCGGCGCGGGCTGGGAGCTGAGAAGAGGAAGACGCCGCAAGTTCCAGGGCTGCATGGGGCTGCGGAGGGAGGGCCCTGTGGTAGGAAACGGCCTGTCTGCCTGGGCCATGAGCTCCCTGACCCCCGCCTCCTCCCCCCGACAAATAAGAAACAGTGGCCCCAAATTTGGGAACTGCTAGTAACTCCTGGCCTTTGGTAGCGACCCCCGCCCCCTACCACTCCCACCACCACCACCACCACCACCACCACCACCACCACCACCACCACCACCACCACCGACTTGCTGCATGTCTGAGCTTAAGAGTGATGCCCAGTGCAGAGCTGGCCAGCTTGTTCTGCTCCTGGAGCAGCGTGAGTCCTGAGCAGTCTTCTGAGGCCAGACAACACTGGGCGACCGCACCCCTGGGGACCTCTAGGTTCCAGCTCTGGAAACCAGGGAGCAGACCACGATCTATCTATGTCACTTTGGATCAGAACCTGAACGACCCACTTAATCAGGCTCAGTGTGTCCTACCACACACATAGACACACTCACGTCGACACTCACACTCATTATATATAGACATACACACAGACACTCATACACACAAGCACACACAGATACACACACACACTCACATTCACAGACCCTAATATGCTCAAAAGCACACACACCAAGATGCACACATACATTCAGTACACATCACACACAAAGGCTGACACGCAAACACACACACAGGCACACACCCCTTTGGGTGCACAGATAATCCATCATTCCGACACACAGGTGCACGCACGGGTACACAGAGGCCCACACTTATATCCATGTACACAGAGACTCATAACACACAGCCTCACACACTCATGGGGACACACTCGTACCCACAGACACACACACACAAACACAGGGATGTGCACACTCATGTAGACACTCTCTCACATAGGCCCACAATCACACACAGGCACACACTCACACACACACTCCTCACTGCCTCCCTTCCAACACAGGGAAGGGTGCCCTCTGTGTGCCCTCCAGAACCCTTTGCTTCTCTCCGCCCTGACACTGATCACACCGAGGTTTTAGATGGTGCCCTTGTCTGCCCCACCCACTCAACGCTGGCTCCTTGAAGGCAGGGACTTTTAGTTCTGTTTTAGTGTCTAGCGCAGAACTTCCTTGTGCTCTCAGATTTGCAGATTATAAAGTAATTTAAGGGAATATCTAAGTTTGTATGTAGGCAATAGGGCAGTAGACTTACAGTCTAAATTCCGAGAAGTCTGTTGCTACTACCAGCTTTTTTGACAAGCATTTGGGAGAAGGAAGTAGGTTTTCTAGTAAAATACTTTGTTACAGGTTAAGTTCTTTGTGCTCTTTACAAAGTAAGTCACCGTTGCTTGAAAAAAATACCCTTTGGGGAAGACAGTTTTAATTTTTCAAAGTAAAGCAGCAACAACAACAAATATTAATTAGCAAACTTTTATCAAGATTAATTTGGGGGGAGGACAGTAAAAAATATTGCTTTCGGGTGTAGAATCCGTCTTTCTTCTACACAAGGCTATCTTTTCTCAGTGACTTAACCTCTTCTGCTATTAAGCATTTTGCCACAGCTTAACATCTGCTTATGTGAATTATACTATTGCATAGATAAAAGTTATCAGAGTTATCAATTATTCCAATTATACTGACCAGAATAACAACATCTCCTAAAAATCACTGTTAGAGAAACCATACTTCCCCACTCAAAAAATGGTAGAAGAATTATCTGTGTTTTTTTAAACCAGAACGAGTCTCTGTGTTATATTCACTAAAATGTTTTTAGATCTTTCGTCTGCTATTTTATAGAAGTTGTTTTCCATAGGTTATGATGATGTCAGAAATTGCTAAAGACAGAATGGCACATTCAGTAAGGAAAAGGGGGAGTGTGTCTTCTTTAAGTGGTCGTGAATTCCGGCTGAAGGAACTTCACGGAAACACCAAAAAGTGAGTAACTGAATGTCTAATAACCTAAATTCAGTTATTGAATAACCAGCGCATAGTGCTTATTGGAAGAAAAAAAATGTCCTTTGGGACATAAAAAGGAAGAAAATGGGCAAGTACATTTTGGGTCATCTCTTGGGGCTATATTTTAAAAAAGAAAGGAAAAGAGAGTGAGAAAATCTAAGTGTTCTGTTGATTCCAGCAGCATTTTGTACTATTTCAAAGAGCACCCCCAAAAAATCATCTACCCAAATGAAATGCCATATGCAGTGTGGACCAGCTACTTCTTACACACCTCCTGAATTGTTTTACTCAGTATCACATAAATGCATAGATTTTGCATTTTATAATCTCTTTCTCTTTATATATAGGGTATATATATATATATACATATTGCATTTAGCATTATTTTATACAAATTTTGTAATGTATTTTCAATAGTTTTCACCATTTCCTTTTAAATGGCTGCATTATATTTTGTCAGTTTATAATTCTGGGTTAGTTCCCATGCCCCAATTCTTGGGCATTTTCAGTTTGTTTCCACTTTTTTTCTTTTTCACTATATAATAAGTTTCTGCTTGTTTTCTTCCCAGAAATATAATTAGTGGGTTGAAGGGTAGGAAGTATATTTTTTTGGCTCTTGCTACATACTGCATTTGCTCCCTTAAAAAGATTAATTTTTAATACTTGCATAGCATTTATTTTTGACTGCCATTGCGAAGAAAGCAAAACAAAATATCTGATGCAGAGGTTAATAAACTTATATAATAAGCTTTCCTTCTTAACAATTTCCACGACATTGAAGGATGTGAAGGATGGGCAGCTGGAGCTGGTATGTCCTATGGAGTGGAGACCAGAAAAACTGGAATAGATTTACATTATAATTCTGACACTAAATCTTTCTACTTTCTACTCTCAGAGTGTATTAATGTACTTAATTAAAATTTGACTTTCCAGCCCTGATGTTTGTGGATTACAAATACAACCTCTTTTACAGATAGGAAATGTAAAGGAGTAGCAATCCCAGCCAATGTCAGAACCAAAGCTGAGAGAAAAATTAATCTCTGCAACTTTTGCTTATGAACTTAAGCCATTTTGGCCTCTATTTCCAATATTTAAGGGTAAAAGTTCTTTTTAAAATTATTTTAAAATAATTGTTAGCTTAAATTCAACTTTTTCCAAGAAAATATTTATAATAATAGTCTGACAGAAATCATGTTTCCGTGATTAAAAAAAAAAAACTGCTCTCATCTAAAGACTCACTTGTCATTCCTATTTGCATCATTTTCATCTACATCTTCCCTTTCAAAGCAAATTAGAAAGTAATTTAGAATCAGAACATGGCCAAATTTGAATAATTAGAGAGCTGTCTTTTTTAATTGATGAAATATAAATACAAATTAAAAGTAACAAAAATACAGAAATCATGTTACCAACACATGAGGATAGATTTTTCACTGACAAATACATTTAAGTGATCATTTCATTGATTTATTTCAAAGTTAGAAATTTGGACTCTCAGAACATTCAGAATGAATCCTCTACTTGAATATTTTTTTTCTTAGAAAGCAAATAACCAGCTTCCAAATACCGTTGCAGTACAGAGGCCATTTGGGAGGCTGCGTCCTCAACTCTAACTCCGACTTACTTTCAAGGTCTTCAGCACTGTCTGGGACCAGACTTTGTGAGTGATTCTCCTTCATGAAATGAGTCTTCGCTTAGCAGAAAAATTCTGAAAGTTCAGCGGTTATCAAACAAAGGCATTGTTTTGACATTGCAGTGTTTTATGGAAAAAGCATATACCTTTCTTTTCAAAGTTATTTAAAAACAATTTTTTTAAAAGATTTTAGTTATTTTTTTTGACAGAGAGAGAGAGACAGCGAGAGAGGGAACACAAGCAGGGGGAGTGGGAGAGGGAGAAACAGGCTTCTTGCTGAGCAGGGAGTCCAATGCAGGGCTCGATTCCAGGACCCCGGGATCATGACCTGAGCAGAAGGCAGACGCTTAACGACTGAGCCACCCAGGCGCCCCTAAAAACAATTTTTGACTAGATCAATTTCAATAGTATAAAACCTATCCTGAAATATACCGAGGACCAAATACATCATCTCATTTAATAGCCCTAGCATTAATCCTACTAGGTAGACCTCATTCTTACCATTTTACCATGAAATAACTGAGGCTTACTGGTCAAGGAACGATTTAGTGACAGGAGAGGGTCCTAAATCATGAGTAAGGCATATAGGGTTCAGAGATCTTTGCCTACTTCTCTAGCGCTGTGTTCTCCACTACCCTGCTTGCGTCTTACTCTCTGGCCATACTCAACTTCCACATTCATAATCCTTCAGTGCTCTGTCTTGCCTCCAGCCATTGCCCCATGTTGCTTTCCCATGGGATACCTTTGTCTGGACTGCTCTTCTGACACTCTGGCTTCCTTCTCCTCCTCCTCAGGATTTAGCTCCAGCTCCATCTTTCTAGGAAGCTCTCTCAACTACTCAAGTACAACCACTTCCACTTCTGGTTGGGTTGGATGTTCTTTTCTGTTCCTGCTCCTTTTCTCTTCTACATGCTACTGTATTTGGCTGCTTTCATGTCGGTCTCTCTTGTTAGATTGTGGACTTATTTGCCTTTATAGCAGTAAACACACGGATAAGGAAGGCAAAGAAGAGTAGGACGTAGACCTACTTGGAAAGCCACTTCTTGGGTGTGGTGTAAGATCGGCATAGATTCAGCCCTCCAGTCTTGGTTCCTATGTCTACATCGTTTTACAGTAGTAACTAGTTCTTTTTTTTTTTTTTGGTTCTATTTTATTTTCATTTATTTTTTTTATTATGTTACATTAATCACCATACATTACATCATTAGTTTTTGATGTAGTAACTAGTTCTTTACATTGATCCCTAGGCATAATGGATATCCCAAGTGCCTTCTGAATTACAAAAGGAAGATTGAATTTATATTCAGTATAATTACTGTTAACTGTCTTTAGGGCTGGACCTTTTTTATTTAAATCATGTTTTTTTTATTATAATGTAATTTTTATGTTTTAGTCTTAAAAGAAGAAACATCTTAAGCTGGATCTTACTCCCCCAGCATCATAACTGTGAGAATGTCGGCATATTTCTTTTTATACCTTTCTAGTTGTCATCATATTTCATCTATAATTTTGAATTTTGTTTGATTTTTCACTTAAATAATTGACAGTAATAAGGCTGAAATAGCTAACATTTCTTGAGCCCTCACTGTGACCTCATTTAAGTCTCACAGAAGCTCTGTAGCAGTGGGTGACAAACTATGGCCCAAGGGCCAGGTCCAACCTGGTTTTGTATGGTCCCCTAGCTAAGTATGGTTTTTACGTGGTTGAAAAAAAAATTTTTAGTAATATTTTTTGTCCTGTATTAATAAAAATGCAAGTTTCAGTATCCATCAATAAACTTTTACTGGAGCACAGCCATGCCTACTCATGTATGTATCATCTCTGGCTGCTTTCGCACTATAGAGTGGAGTGGTTGCGGTAGAAACCATAGGATCCACAAAGCCAAATATGTGCCCGATGGCATTTTACAGAAATGTTTGCTGACCCTGCTCTCTAGGATAGAAGCTATGATCATCCCCATTTTACAAAGGAAGAAACAGAAGCCTAGAAAGGTTGAGCTTCCAAAGCTACAGAATTAGCAAGTGGCAAAATGGGCTTTTGTATATAGGCAAGTAGTCTCATTCTCTGAAAATTGGCTCTCAGTGTGTAACTTACATTAATGAAACTCTTCTATTCATTCACCTGAGCCTTCTGTTTCCCATCCATGGGTAAGAGCAGGTAATGACAATGACATCTTTCTTGTTGGAAGGTCAGCCTTTGGCAGCCTTCAAACAGTATTTGAACAGATGTGCTACTCACGTGTTCTTAAAATGGAAACAGAAGGCTGAGGTTAAGTGACTTTCCCAGGATAATGTGACATGAGAGCGAGGTTTATTTTCTCTGAGGCCGGTAGTTCACCTAGTAGGTCAGGCCCAAGGTCGGGGACCAAAGAGTCTCTCTTTTGTCTCAAACCAAAATTACAGTGATGTCATGTTACAGGAACTTTGAGTATGGATCCCACTGCTCTCTATTTAAACCCATGGGTGGCATCTAACACCCTAGTGAGGCCACACGATATTCCTTCACTTATGCATTTATTCAAGGTTTCCTGAGCTTCTACTCTGTGCCAATTACTGTGCTACCCGGTGGGCGTGTGAACGTAACTAACTGTGGAGTTCTACTCTGGAGAAGGTCGTTTTTCAAGTAAACTGAAAGCCACCTGGTAATTTTTTTCTCTGCAAAAATGGAAAATACTGCATTCATTACTTCATTTGAAATAAATGTTTATTGCCCAGTGGGTACATTCCAGGCACTGTGCTGGGTAGGGAACCACAAAGAAATAATCTGTGCTCCTGGGGCGTTTATAATCTGGTGGGACAGTTGGTGAGCAAGTAATTTTAAACGTGATGAATTTAGGGCGCCTGGGTGGCTCAGTTGGTTAAGCGACTGCCTTCGGCTCAGGTCATGATCCTGGAGTCCCGGGATCGAGTCCCGAATCGGGCTCCCTGCTCGGCGGGGAGTCTGCTTCTCCCTCTGACCCTCCCCCCTCTCATGTGCTCTCTCTCTCATTCTCTCTATGTCAAATAAATAAATAAAATAAAATCTTTAAATAAAATCTTAAAAAAAAATTAAAAAAAAAATAAATAAACGTGATGAATTTATCCTATGATTTCAACCTAGACTGCTCTGAGCTGCTTACGTGCAATTACAAAATGATGTTGCTCGAGCTGTTTCCTGATTTTGATAAGTTCCCTTGCCATCTAAATAAAATTAAAGCCCCCAAAAGACCTGGATGAGATCCAGCTTCCCCTCTTCAAAGAGAGAGAAACTTGAGAAAACTGAAATGGCCATGATCCCAAATTAAACCACAGTAAAAACTAATCTCATGTTGTACTTGATAGATGATGAAATTGTTTCACATACAATA